TTATTATTAAATAAACTATATTTTTTGGAGGAGTTAATGATGAATGTTCCTCAAGATGCTTGCTCAACCTCCTTCAAATTTGAAAGACAAGTAATTACTATCATGTATCAAAATTCAAAAGATTCAAAGGAACAGTTCAGTGCCCCACAACTTTATTGCAAACAGTTACAACCTTGACTTTACATCAGAAAGAACAAACATTAAATAAGTGACTAAAGGAAAGTCCTTACCTACTGGCCTAGTTAAATCAAAGTGGATACTTTTTTTTGGCTGGGCAGTGTAGTTTTACGTCTTATTTGACTTTCTCAGGACTTAACACTGTTTTTCCACTGTTCTCGTTTTGCGCCGTTCCCCTGTTCAAATTAAATCGCCGCAATTCATATTTCCTCGCTTGCGCCAGGGCTGGGGGAGGGGTTACAAGACTCGAGTCTTGTGCTGCATTCACTTGCACTCGGACATTAGAGATTTTCTCTCATAAATGTCCGATGAGCCACAACTTTTCTTTCAAAACAATGATGCCAACTGGGCTATTTTTTAGGGTTGCAGTTGCCACCCCGGTAGATCCGCCCCTGCAAACAACACAGATTCACCTTAAGCAGAAGCCGCCAATCAAAAGCCAATCAATACCTGCTAGGAAGAAATGCCTCTCATCATACAACACATATCAACCACGAGACCAGGTGTGTTCCTTAATTAATTAATATCAGCCGAACCCTCTGTTGCGAATTCATATTTCCCGTCCTGCCAGCTTGTCAGGGAAACAGGTTGTGATTTGGGGAAGAAATAATTTCCTGCTTGAGTGTCGCCATTCCAATAAGCGTTCATCATGTTGGTCGACTTGTAATTATTGTTAATGACATTGTGCTGATGACAAGCAGGAGCACTACAAGTTATTGCTCGACCAGGCGGTGCTGATGACAAGCTAAATAACATCATCCACTGAATTAGATGATGCTGTTTAAGCACAGGTCGAGGAAGAACAACGGAGCACACAACAAGATAGGGCCGCGGTGTAATTATTCTACAATGAACCACAAACTGGCAGCTTCTTTATTAAATGGAGCGAGAGGAGACATCAGCTTCCTGTTGCTGGGTGGAGTGGACAGCGGTGACAGGCTCCACAAAATAAGCTGCTCTTTTATTACTAGTGTAGAAAGTCTTGGACGGGGGACCATCACCGAAACATGTGAGATATTTAGCTGATGTGAGCTGGACCTTGTTCAAGGACGCTCCACAGGACTGGTTACTGATGGACACGCTCGATGCTGCGTCAAGCTACAAGTTATGTTTTTGTTAAGTGTCAGCAACTTTGTCAGGATTTCTGAAGGGAACAGGACTAACAGGATTTCCCCTTTGGGTTTATTATAATGTTATTGTTTCATAAAAAAGTGGAAGGTTTCTTTTTTTCTTTTAATTTATCTTCAGTTGTTGCTGATTTACAGGAATGCAGTGGATTTACTTTTTAGGTAAGGTGTAGTATCTTTCTAGGAGAAGCAGAGACTTGTTCAATGAAAATCAATACATCTCAACTTTATTTAGCAAGGGCAGTTCTATGCACCAGTCTCCCAGGTGAGTTCTGGTAATAAAACACATGTATCTAATAAAAACACATTTAGGGCTGGCTGCTAGTGGAAAGAATAACAATGTCTACTTGCATATTTTAGCTTCATATTCCCCTATGTAGGCCTACAGTAAAGGATAGGACGGTTTAGCTTTAGCACCCAGAAATGGATGGCAAAGTTAGCATGCTAACACGCTAAACTAAGATGACAGTAGACAATCTACCAGCGAAATGTTAGCATTTCACTGTATGCTAGCATTAGCATCCATGAGAAAGCACTGTTATACCTTCAAACAGCGCCACTGTCATGGTTAGATTGACATCTTATTGGAATTTTGGATCAACTTGAAAGCATTTTTTAAACAGAGTAGATTATTCAGGTAAAATAGTTATTGAGATAAATAAAAGCTATGAAAGAAAGAATGCATTAAAAAGGGGCCCTATTATGCTAAATTCAAGGTTCATATTTGTATTTTCTGCCTCTACTGTGACATGTTCACATGCTTTAATTTTCACATTGTTTATTTTTCTCATACTGCCTGTGCTGCAGGACCTCTTTTCACCCTCTGTCTGAAACCAGAGCCCAGTCTGCTCTGATTGGTTAGCTGGCCAGCTCTGTGGTGATTGGTCAGCCGCTTAGAGATGTCCCTATGGATGTCCCCCACTTCAGCCTATTGAGTGTTAAATAGTTGTATCACTTTATATCACAGAAGTATACAAAGGAGTCCAATGAAGTGTTTCCAGTTTCAGACTTGGAGGGAGCGAGCTCTGGGATTTTAGGCTTTGCAGACCATTTACATGCAAACATTTCTATATAAACACACTACAGGAAAGGAACAATCCCAAAAGGCATAATAGGGCCTCTTTAAAATTAAGTGTAAAAAATTGAAACTTTACAAGCAGATGCGATAGAGAATTAAGAGCTTAGTCAGGAGCATAGCAACATACTAATGATAACAATGAGCTTCCTACTTTTGGTCAGGTAGGTTCAATATTCTAAATGATGATTTGTCCTTATTAGAAGCCAAATCCTGCTGTTTGACTTCAATCGAGTAGTATATTCAAAGATAAAGCTCAGGCTAATTCTGTCCTCTGATAATGCAGCAAATACAATTAAGAAAAAAGTTAGGACTTTCAATAGTCAATTTGTTAAAGAGAGAATGACTAACAAACAGATCTTTGAAGAAGGGAATCAGGCCTGCATGATAATCATCTCAAAATAATATATTCACTGACAGATCTCATCATGTACGACGCGCTCTGTGATGCAAGTCTTCAACCACAGCTCACATTTATTATTAATCATCAACAACTGAGCTTTGATTTATTCCTCAAAATCCATCTCTGACTATGAAGTTTTATGAATTAACTTCTGAGACGCTTAATTGGCTCCCCTGTTGTTAATTTCTCAAAAATGGTGTGAACAAATAATTGACTGTTTCTTGGCAACGACAGTCACAACACTAAATAAAGAATGCCACCTAGTGCAGCCTGACATACACCTGCAGGTCATTCTTCAAACGTTGCCTTGAGAATCCAACAATAAAAATCTTTGTTTCAAACCAAATTTCACAATAGGGACTTTTTCTTTTTCGACATCCTGAAATTAAACATGTGCTAATTGCTATCTGTGTGGGAAAAAAAGGCAAAAACAAAGCCTATTTAGTGCAACGCGACAGTGGGGGCTGAGGCAGGTAACCAGCGTTTAATTTAACGCTCAACTCTCTGATACTACTGTTGCAGTTCTGTTTACAAGGATATCATTGTTTCCACTATGCAAACCGAAGCTCCGGCAAATCCACTAGTGATTGGTTCCACCTGTTGTTCAAACTGCAAGTCGAAATGCATGTCGCAATGAAATCATGTACGAGTACAATGTATAATTATGAGCACGAGTCCCATTTAGGCATGCTAATGTTGTGTACAAGAATATCATTTTTGTACAGCAAAACAGAAAACAAACTAAATAAAATATGCAGCAATTAAAAGCTGAATAGTAATTCACTATGAAGATATAGAGTCAGAAAAAAATGTAGAGATGCAATACTTTTATTTAAATGAAGTGATTTTCAAAGATCATTCTGTATCCAAGATGGAACCAGGCATAAAAACAATGAGTAAATCCTTAGAAAACTAATAAAGATGGTGTGTTCTTCCAATGGGCATCTAGGTGGTGCCTAGACGCCTCTCCGTTTCCTTTCTTTATCCCGTCTCTCGTCCTTCTCTTCCCCTCGATCGCAGATCCTTTCACCCAGTTTCTCTCCTCTAGTTGTGTCCCTGGAGAGCCTCCGCCATGAACAGCTTCCCGAGGTTCTGAGAGGTGAATTCCTTCACGTTCTGGCAGTAGTTGTTAATTTGCCCTGTTGGAAGGTAGCCACATGCATCCACGCGCCCCCACACAACAAAAACACACCCACATAAATATACATACATTTGTACACAGACATACACGCAAAGAGACAGAGAGAGAGAGAGGGGAGGAGAAACAGAAAACATCAAATTAGTGTGGAACAAAGTAAACGGAAGCATCAGAATGTTGTCAGAAGGCGGGGGGAGAGCTGAACAGCGCGAAACGGCACGGAAAGGGGCGGGCGAGTTGGAGATTGAGTCAATAAACTTTAAATTAATGTAATTTCAAGATAATGGCGGAGATAATTGCAAAGCAGAACCTGAGCTCCTGTGAGGGGAGCAGAGGCGGCTGTTGGAGTTTGGAGAGGGGGGGTCTCCTAAATGGGCTCAGTCCGTGCGTGAAGGCTGTGTGTTTGTGTCAGAGTGGATGTATGTGCGTACCTGCAATGAGCAGCGTGTCCATGCGTGGTGGCGCCTGAGGAGGCTTGAACATTTTGCTCATGTCTTCCTCAGGCAGAGCGGGCTCCCCTCGGCTCTGTCGCTGGGTGTTCTCCTGCGTCCGCCTCTGGACGTACTGGAGGGGGGGGGACACAGAGAGAACAAGGGGCGGGGTTAGAGAAGCAGGGGGCACAAGAAGAAATGAAAGAAAGAAAAACAAGAGCAGAATAGACAGTGAGAATGTGAGGCGAAGAGAAAGGGTGAAATAAAGTGAGAGAAAAGGTATGAAGAAAGTAAGTCAGGAACAGGACAAAGGGCAATAAAGTGGAGAGAGATGTAGAAAGTACAATGTTGCATAGAATTATAATAATAATAATACAAATAAAAAAGCAACAGGCAGGAAGTGAGCTGTAAAGATACACGGTGAAGAAAAAAGAGACAGACAGAGAGAGGAGTTATAAGGGCTGACAGGAATGGAGTGATTTGTAGAGGGCTGACAGTCGGTAAATCAGCGAGGTGCCGGGTCTCTGGAGATCCTAAAAGCCTTGTTAATTTGGCAAGATGGAGGAGAGCCTGTCACAGACCGGCAAAAGGAGAGGTTGCGGCAGATGAGAAAAAAATGGTTTGGGAGCAACTTGAGTGCTTTCAACCACACATCTCTCAACGCACCTGTACGGGGGACTGAAGCTGACTCAACATAAGCGTTGAGTCAAATATTTAACCATCCACTCCTCCAGTGTTCTTTTTTTTTTTACCTGCCAATGCGTCACAGCAAGCCTTTGCATAATCAGAATGCTAATATATGCAAATGTTCTAAACAACCAAACAAAAACAGTTTTGCTCTTCCACCTTCCATATATAAATATAGACATGAAAAATCTTAAAAGTATTGACCTCCCTCCATCAAAAGAAATATTCAAATTAAAGCTAAAAATCGAACTCATCGAAGTATAAATAAAAAAACAACCTCGTTCAAGTGAGCATTTGCTGGAAGACATTTTAGAAGGTTTTTTTTTACAGCCAATTTTTCTTTACAAAGTGCTCGGGCTGTCAGGTCGCAGCCGTTGTCAAGTCCTGCTACAAAGTCTGATTTGGCTTGAGGTCTGGACTCCCGTGTAGTGTTGGCTTTGTGTTGGAGGTCATTGTCTGGGTGGAAAATAAAACCGTCACAGGTCTTGTACTGACAACTGCAGGACTTCTCAGAATTTATTTCACCCAGCTTTCCAGGGGCTACTGCAGAGAAGACCTCGCACAGTATGCCGCTGAAAACACTGACTCATGCTGGAGATGGTGTGTTTTTGGCAATGTGCTATGGTTAAAAAAAACTTTCAAAGTTGGTAACTGGACTAGAGGCCTGATGTGAGAAAGTTTGGAGCAAATTGCATTCAGTGATACGAGCCAGTGTTTCAAACCCAGGTGGTCAGAATGCATCAGAGCGTACTCATATGAGATCAGATCACATGGTACATCAAAATAACTAGTGGGACTCATAATATAGGACATCAATTCCATTTGTGAAAAAAAATTCTTTAAAATTAGATATGTTTGAGTTCTATGTAAATAATCCTAAACGTACTAACTTTAATATTTTGATGAGTTTCTACAAAGAGGAGGAGCGAGACATGAGAATTCATTTCCGCCAGGTGGAAGTCAACAGGACCCGTCGAATATCTAGTCGGTGTTCAACAAACGTCATGTACCCATGTGTCCGTCTAGGAGCTCGTCTCCAACAAAGGACTACACCGTCCTGTACCATAGTTGCAGGGAGGAAGATTGAACCTGTGCTGGAACCGGTTTGAGGTAAACGTAACTGGCCCAGGAAGGGTGAAGTCTCATCCTCTACCATAAGGACCTCTGAAGATTCGGTTTCGCCTGGCGACAAGGAAGGTGTGTAGGTGTAAGTGGTCGTTCCGCAAAACTTGTACCGGAGTAACCCAAAGGAGGTAAGTGAGCGACTCAACAGTTCACCTCTGCCCGGATGACGGTTCGCACAGTAAAGAGGTTTGAACAACAACCGGTAACCTTGCACATAAGACGTAGTAGTGAAAGTAGGTGTAACACCTATGTAGTCGACCCATGGCTGGGAATAGTGACCCACTTGCAATGAGAAAGCGACAAAACTGCAGCGAGGAGCAGATCGGTACCGGTTGAACTGAGTCCCACGTGCGCGAGTACCACGTGTTTTTGCGTGTAGGAGGGGCTTATCCCGTCTCGCTAAACATCTCTCATTTCACTTAGACACCAGAGACGTCCTCAAATCGCGACCCAGGGGAGAGAGGAAGTCAAAAGAAAATACTCGCAGCCGACTACCATTACGAGAGGACTACGAGGAAAGTGACCCAAGTTGTTTGTCCAGAGGGCCCATTCTTGACCAGGGAGAGGTAGCCAAGCGACGTGGATTGGAACGTGGACCTGTAGAGGCAAATAGTGAGAGAAGTTCAAGGAAGTGTATCTACGACCGTATTAGGCAACGACCATTCATAAAGTAATGACAACGAACGTACCCTCGAAGCAAAGGTTTCTATGGTAGCTGTTACTCACGAGAACACATCAATGCTTACGATGTTTCACTTAGAACTAATACCACGGTGGAAGAGTCTCCGCTCAGGCACGTACTGCCCAGGGCACCTCCGGACATTGAGCCAAGGCTAGAAGTGGAAATTGGTTGTCGTATTAGAGGACAAGACCTTTACGCGGTGGTATCCGGTGTGGCCCGACTACTTGTTACCATAGACGGAGAATTGTTCTCTGCTAATCATGGAAGACAACGAAGTTACAAGGAACTACTGGAAACACGACTTGTAAGAGTTAGAAGTAGAACTTCGGTACCACCAAAGGTCTCGAGCACCCGACGTAATGGCCTCGAAAGGACAGAACCCTTGTCTTCAGACAGGTGGTTTTCAGGTATCGAGGTCTGACTACAGGACTTACGAGCGATAGTTCTACATGAGTGTCGACCTACCTACAAAGAGCCTAGTAGAAAGCCAGTGACTCTCGGGAGGATAAGTGCGGGCCGGGTGGTTTGTAATGGTCCGTGGACTGAGGTTATCATATCCTGGTCTAGAGTGTAGCGGACTGTGTCATGAGATCTGTATAAGTCACCAGCAGACCTGGTCTCGACGCAGGGGCTTTTAGCCTAGCTAGGAATCACGTCTACAGATCAGTAGTTTCTCCAATGCTATTGCGCGGCATCCCACGCCTACGTCCGTTCCCGGAGGTAAAAATACGACAGCGGATCGCTAGACGGAATTTAAAAGAGCGCGATGTGGATCGTGCGTCAAGAGTGTGTCGCGTGTAGCACGAGGCGTCGTCATATCAAGTTATTTAGGAAAACAAATTATGCGCCACCACCGAAGGAGAAACCACCATCTACTACAAGACAGACCGCGCTATAGTTTTCCACGTATCAAAACGATTACGTACTTGAACTCCCGTCTCGTCTGGACAGAGTCCATGCCTCTAGAGAACCGAAGACAGGGCGCTTCGACGCCACTGGCTCCGCGAGTTTCTACAGTTGAGGTCTTTTTGTTTAACAAAGTTTCTACTCCTACATGGTAGAGGCGCGTAACACGAAACAGTGTGTCTAAGAGTGAGGCCGGTATACCTCCTGAACCAAGAGGCGATAACAATAACGTATTTACATCAGTAAGGAGCTGTATATATATAAGAGAAGAACCCTCACATAGGGGGTAGCTACCTTCTTTGGTCCGTTGTGAGAAACTGCGTCTAATCACCATAGCCAACGGTGCGGAAAGGGGAACTACTTGAACCGGGTATCCAGAAAAACACCGGCTAGAGGCACCGGTTGACCTAAAATATTAATGAAGGTAATTGCGCTCTGTCGAGTATGAAGTTATCCCGATTTTATGGCGAAGTCTTCTCCACTCCATGAAACCTCCAGTCCCGTAGGGATAGATGCGGTATATGCGCGAGCGGAACCAGTCCGTATAAAAGGTCCAGTCCATTCGAGAGAGGAGAGGTCGCACATTTAATTAACTACCATGTTTATCATTTATATGTGTATTTTCCGTTCGGTCCAACAGACGATCCTCAGATAAAACCTACATCATCCACGATTGACCTATGTTTAGTTAAAGGAGGTTCAAAAAGAGTTGACACTCTTTAGTAGTAGTCAAGTTTGACTTTGTTTCTTTTAGTTCACTTGCTAGACCTACATCTCGAGTACCAAACCTAAGACACTTTTTCTTGGGTTTGGAATTGTAAGCACAAAAAAGAAAATTTATGGTATAAATCTGGAATAGAACTTCCCTTTAGACTCTTATTGTCTATTGTGCGATGTGTTGTCTTAGTTTTTACTGGGTCTCTCTCAATCGGATCGGTCAAAATTCATCTCGTTACTTATATATATATATATATATATATAGATTATGATATATATATTTATATATTACATATATTCATGTAGTATCAATGGAGCCNTTGTCTTTCAAATTTGAAGGAGGTTGAGCAAGCATCTTGAGGAACATTCATCATTAACTCCTCCAAAAAATATAGTTTATTTAATAATTTATTATTAAATAAACTATATTTTTTGGAGGAGTTAATGATGAATGTTCCTCAAGATGCTTGCTCAACCTCCTTCAAATTTGAAAGACAA